TACATCCCTATAATAAATCTAGTTAGAAGACCGATTCCAAAATGTGACAATAACTCTTCAGTCTCATTTTAGTTCCATAGATGTTTTGATACCACATAAAACATGCATCAAACCATGTGCGTTTGAGGACTTCTCTCTTAGCAACTGGTTTTTTAAAAAGGCCCTGGGATTCTTTCATTTGTTTTACCCATGCCAATCAGATCCAAAAACACAGTTCATGGATCAAGAGATACTAAAGATGAAGAACTTAATAAGCCGCACACACCTATTGGTAATTTTAAAAATTTCACTGCCATATGCACTAGGAGAAAAAGAAAGATGAGTAGTAAATTGGGCCAGTATTACTCCTGTTTTAGGCCTGCAATCAATACTTGAAGGAGGCCAAGTCATATTACAACTCAAACCAACCAATGTTTTGATAGGTTTGGTATATAAAACAACCTCAAAATTTGAATGTTATCCAGAAGAGACAGAAAGAATAATCCTATCATGAAAATCTAGCCAGACATTTGCAGCTCCCTCATCCGAAAAGGAGACTACTCAGTACCTTCAGTGTGGGAAATAGAGCATGCAAAATAATGAGAAAGAGGGCAGCAGATGGGAGTTCAGCATTCATTATTGACTATCTATCTGTGCTTTGACAGGGGTGATCAGAAGCTCCTTGGAAATTACGCAGACTTTAAAAACCCAATAATGCACACTTGGCTCATCTCCTTAGAATGTGAAGACCCAACTACTCAAGACAGAGAAAAAAAAAAAAAAGTACTTGGGTCCTTTTTGCAAAAAAGGAAGAAAAGTATATCCTTGGATTTTGTAAGTGGATAAACACGAATTAGTGCCATACAGCTCTGTATTAGTAGCAAGTATAAATGTACTGAATCAAGACTGTATTTTCTAGCTATGTGAAATCATGCAGCAAAACTACACATTAAAAATTCATCCTGAGCAGTGCAGCAGAAGCGGACAATGAACTGAATTTAAGACAATCAAAACTTAATGCTATACAATACAGCAAATACATCTTTTAATATACAGGGAGTATATGTTTCGGTACCCCATTTTTACAGAAGCTATTATATATGGATGCAAGAATACACAATAATTTACTGCCAAAAGCACCCTTTGGTCTAAAACTCAGCATTCCCAAGGTAACAGAAACATGCTATACTAAAGTGAAATAAATCAGTGATAATAATGATAAGTTGGAGAATGTTGTTTCAAGAACAGTGCACTTCAACAAAACTTGTGTTTTGGCTTAGACATGAAGAACATGTACAAAATTGAAAAGGTTAGAGTTTGATAACATTTTTGCCTTGTCTACCTTCTATCAGAGTGGTTAATGTTATTTTACTACCATAAACACAGAGGAAAAAATAGAGTTAATACAATGTGAGAAGACATGCAAAAACAATTTGTTAGTGCTGAACTATCCTAATTTTGCTGGGGAAGCAGATGGAGATCTATATATAAAGTACTGTAACCAACTGATTTTCCTCATGATAAAGTGAGCACTAGTTTGCCTCCATTCTCAACAGATTTACAAGATTCATTCTAGCATTCATCTCTCTACAAAAGCCTTTTGGTCACAATACAGATCTCTTGTCCTCTAGCAAACCCTTGCTTGCTCTATCATAAGCAAAAAAAACCCTAAGCATGCAAACAAAGAAAAAGACAAAAAGCACACAGTTGCAAAGCTCCAATGTAATAAATACAGGAAAGCAAAACACTTGAAGACTTTGAGAAACTTGATGAAAACCAATACATCTGTTTCCTACCAATCACATAAGCAATTCTTTGTTTCAAAGCATTGCACCAGTTGAAGGTTATCTAGGCTGAACACGCAAGTTTCACTGATCTGTACCTATGACAAGTGAAAACCAGGCTCTCTAAAAATGAGATGCAATTGCTTTAAGGCCAGCTGCTAGCCAACCAACAAAAAACAAAAGTAATATTTTCAGATACTGCACCTAACTAAAGCATCCCTTGGCAGTCTGTATTCTTAAACATATTGTATTTACTTGAACATAAGACAAGGTGTTCCCCAGCCCCCCAGGCAGCAAGGGGGGGGGGAGCCCCTTGTCTTGTCTTTGCATATGAAGCACAGAGAGGAGTAGGCGCCTGCTGCAGCCCTTACCCCAGAAGACCAGAAACCCACAGCACCCTCCTATACTCCCCTCCACTTCCCCACTGCAGCTTCTACCTCCCTGCCCCACCCCTTTACTGTCAGGCACAACCTGACCCCAGATCCCTCCCAGACACAAAGCATATGGAAACTCTTTCCCCTGCTGCATGGCCAGGCAGGGGAAAGTTTCTATGTGCTGTGATCTGCCCCAGCAGCCTCTGATAGTAAAGGGACTGGCGCCGGCACTGGCGCCAGTACCTGGGGGGAGCAGGACAGTGCAGATGACCTGGAAACTGGCTGACAATATGCAGGAAGTGCAGAGCATCAATGAGATTGACAAGTATGACTGCAAGCAGCAACAGGAGATCCTAGAGGCCAAGCCTTGGACCAGGGACTACCACTGCTTCAAATACTGCAAGATTTTGGTGCTGGTACTCCTAGAGATGGTGATGCAAACACACTCAGCAGCAACCTAGAGGTGATGGGCTCCTGCTGGGCAAGCTGTACAGTGAGACCATGATCATTATGGACAACTTTGTCCTGCGTGTCAAGGGCACCAAGATGTGCACCAATGTGCAGGTGGCTACCTAAAAGTACCTGGGCCCCCTACCGTGAGAATGCCAAGCAAGCTGGTCATCTAGAAAATGCAGCTGGCTAGTACCAAAGTTACCCAGGCTAAGGCTTCAGGGATAGATGTCAGTACTCAGATACTTAATCAGCAATTTCAGAAACCTTTTGTAGTACCAGTTATTGATCCAACAAGAACAATATCTGCTGGAAAAGTAAGTCTTGGGGCATTTAGAATATATCCCAAGGGCTATAAACCTCCAGTTGAAGGTTCTTTTGAGTACCAGACTATTCCACTCAAAAAACAAGAAGAATTTGGTGGGCACTGTAAACAGTATTATGCTTTAGAAATCTACTTAAAGTTATTTTTGGATTGCAAATTACTTGAGCTGTTGTGGAATAAATATTGGGTTACTCTCAGTTCTTTTAGTTTGCTTACTAATACTGACTATACCACTGGTCAAGTCTTTGATTTGGCTGAAATGTTAGAAGAGTCAGAACTTGGACGAGGAAGTTTCATGCTGCGTTTAGAGATGCCTGACAAAATCAGAAGACAAACTTGCTACAGCAACAAAGGACAGCTGCAAGATCACCACAGAAGCTATACACAGATTGACGTCAGGTTATTAAGGATAAACTTTTAAATCAAATGAATATCGCTTGAAGTGTATGGCCAACTGAGATGAACATACGAACTATTATAAACTTATTAATCTTCCATAAGACTCAGGGCAGCTGTAACCCAAGGACACCGATTCATTTTGGAGTTTGGCAAGTACTGATTGGGAGTAAGCAGATGGGATATACTTCTCAACAGTAGCACAAGACAGGGAACAGGGGCAGCATGAAGCCCACATCTAAGAGATACTGTTCTTTTCTTCAAATCACAGCTTTGCATTGAGTAGTGTTAAGTTTCAAAATAATTCTATTACGCCATTCCACAAGGTTATGTGATTCTTACTGTAAAAACACTGATTTGCTTCCGCACGTGATACCTCCTAACTTTGTCTCCTTCAAATTTCAAACCAAGTTCTTGCACCAAGGTTGTTAAAGAAAATAATAAATAGGATGGGTCCTAGTAACCTCTCCCCTACTGAGTAACTCCCCTTTAAATAAAACATGTTACAATCTCCCTTTAGCCAAACTCCTTATCCACTTTACAGTTCCAGTATTAACTCCCACCCTCTCCTTGTTAGCCAGTAATACTGGGAGATAAGGTTCTTTGCCCAAATGTGGTATCATTTATTAGACCAACTAAGTAGTTAGGAAAATTGTTCTTTGTAAGCTTTCAGGCACAAACACCCTTTTTTCAAGCACAGCAAGCATCTGCTGGTGTGTGGTGCATTCTGCTGGATGGAACAGAAGCTAAGATTCAAAATGCAGGTCTGTGAAAATGCAAATGTGTGGCAGTGAGGATCAGAGGCAAGGGGAGACAATAGGTACATGGGGAGGAGGGAAATGTTGACCTGGAGATAGGAGGTAGCTGGTAAAGTGTGGAGGTGTTACCTGGGGTTATTGGATGTTAGGCAGGTTATAATGTGCCATAAATCCAATGTCTATATTTAGTCCATGATTTTTTGTAGCTTTATGAAGTGAAGTTCGTAGGCTTGTCTACAGAAGGGGTTTTGTAAACTCCCTTTGAGGATTAGAACTGAAAGACTGGAGAGGAAGTGGCCGTCTTGTGAGAAGTGGCACTCACAGGTACGCGGGTGTTTTTGTCTTTGATAGGTTTTCTGTGGGATGCACTAACAGCAGCGTCTCACTCAAGTCACGGGATGGGGTTCACCCACTCTGCTCTGCACTAAGGAGGCCCAAGCAAGAGCACAGCATCTGGTTTGGGGCACGACACTTGAACAAGGTGGAGAAATTGGAAAGAGTTCGGAGGAGAGAGAGAGAGAAGCGATTCGGCCTCTAGAAACATAACACGCAGGGAAGTGTTGGAAGAAGTGAGATTCGTTACTCCCTCTAGAGAAGATAAGACTGAAGAGATAACAACCTTCAGGGTTAGGCACTTGTGGGCTGCACCCGCAGGGCCGCGGGAGCCTCCTCACCTGGAGAAGGGGAGTTACGCGGGGCGTCAGGTAGGGGATTCACGAGGGGTCCCCGGACACGCCGCACCCCCCAACCCGCAGAACAGTCCCGCATCTGCTGGGCGCGGCTAGGGCCGGGCTAGTCCTGCCTCGGGACCTCCGCCCTCCTCCCCCTCTTCCGCGGGGGGTGGGGGGTAGTGGCTTGCCCCACACTTCCTGCGGACGATCCTCTCTTTGTCTTTGTCGCTTCAAAAACCGCCCCGCGCCAGCCCAACACTCACCTCAGGCCCGGCCGCCTGCAGCTGCCGCGGCCGCGCTCGCAACGAAGCCCCACCCCCACCTCAGAGGGACCGCGGCAGCTCCAGCTCGGGGGGGAGGAGCCCGGCGCTGCCCCGCCCCCCCGCGCCCAGCGCTTCGAACCCGCCAATCCCCGGCGCGCTGCTCGCCGCGGTTCTCACAGCCGGGGGATCCGCCTCCCCTGCGCCGGGATCAAGGCGGCCAACGGCTCCCTGAGCCGCCCCCGGCTGCGCTCTGCGCATGCGTCGAATGTATTTCCCTGCCTGCCGGGGGGGGTGGTCCAACTCCCGTCCCGGAAACCCGCATCATTCGCTCTGGCCAATAGGAGCGCGGGGCAGGGGGGGAGGCTGAACGGGGGCGGGGCCAGGTCTCCCTCAGGGGCGGTAGGAACAGCTGAGGCGCAGCTCTGATAGTTTCGGGGTAGGAGTACGCCCCGGCCCCGCGCGGCAGCCGCCAGCAGGGGCGGGGTGGGGTGGGGCGGCGGTGCTGGGTTACAGCGGGTGTAACCAGAGGCAGCCCCCGAGTAACCCGGCACCACGGTTGCTGGAGCGAGGGCAGGGACTGCTCGGTTGCGGGGTGGGGGATGAGGCGCCAGTCGTGCGCGGGGAAAGCAGGACGAGCCGCGGGGATAGCGGTAGGGGCCCGGGCCGGTCGGCGCAGCCTCCCCGCTGCCTCGAGAGAAGCTGGGAAGTAAGTTGGTGCCTGGCCTGACACACAAAAGCGCGGGGGGGAGGGGGGCTGGCGCGGAGTGAGGGAGAGAAATTAATCCGCCCGCCGCAGGTCACTGCCGTGTCCCCTTTGTAGCTGTCACTCCCCCCCCCACACCCATCTCTCCCTTCTTGCGTCTCTGCTCGAGAAAAGGGCTCACAGCAGCTCCAGAGTGACTCCGGGGTGCGGCAGGGAGACATGCACCTGCTTTGCGTCCGCGTACCCTGCTGGACGCAGCCTGGAGGACTTTCCTACCACAGCATCAACACAGCGGTCACCAGGACGGAACCTGTGTTGCTAGGTGCTGCATGCAGATGCCTAGGAAAATGCTTTGCTCCAAAGCATAAAATTGAAGTCAGTGGTGAAACTGAGCATTCTTTTTGAAAATCCCTCCTGAAATGCTTCCAACCAATGCTGCAGAAAGAAATGGGGCTTGTTGGGTGAATTTTGCCCTTATTTTGCCTATCCCATCATTTGTCAAGTTTGCTAAGTTGGGACGTGGCATATTCCCAGAATCCTTTTAAAAGTATTGGCAGAGAGTAAACCTCTCAGAGTTAGAACATGTGATTATCAAAAGCTGAGGTAGCTCCTAACTGTCTCCATTTCTTTCTAGTGCCGCAACTCATTTCTTTCTGTCTCTGTTCATGGGTGTACAGTGTCCTTTGGCACTCCATAAATAACAATACTTACAGAGGTGAAAATAATAATATAAAGTATAAATGAAATTAAAAAGGCTTTTTATTTCATACAAATTAGAGAAGCAATTTTTTTTTTACCAACGACAAACCACTCTGCATCCATAGGAGTTTAACAGTAATTCAGAATGTAATTGTCTCAGTATTTCTCTGTATCCTTTCTCTGGTCCAGGTTCTGTCTGCCTTTGCTAACAAGGAGCAATTTAAAGATGGCTACTTCTTCTCCAAAGACTGTTGCAGGGTAGGGGCAGAGAGGGGAGGCCTGAGTAGAAGCCTGCCTACACAAGCTCTAAGCCACCCAGTGAATCCTAAACATTAGGGAAATCCTCAGCCGGCCAGTTAAGCTGTTTTTATGCTTATAGCGTGGACAGGAATTAGTCCTTTGTATAGGAAAAACACAGATCAATGTTATTCTTGCCTAGATCTTGTTAAATATAAAGTAGTTTTATAAACATTATGTACTATTCCTGGCCCCATTACCAAGTTAGTCTGTTTTGATTCAATTTGTAAATGCTAGGGGTGGATTAATTAACAAGGACCAACTAACTTGGTGCTGTAGGGTATAGGTCTGATTCTCCTCTTTTCCCACTGATTTGATTTTTGTTTAAATTATATTGGATTCAGCACAGTTGATCCAGTTTTGTACCTGAGTAAAAGAGAATTGGGCTCCTCATGTGCATGTCTCCCACTAAAGACTACTGGCAATTTGTATGGAGATGTACTGCAGGCCATGATCTAAAATGTATGCTTTGCCTAGGTATGGTTCTAATGTACATAAAGACCATCCTAACTTCTCATATTTTACAGAATCTGATACATGCAGTAATACAAAAGCTGACGCGAAATGTACATGAAAGCTGACAGTCAGTGAAATTCTTATGGCATATTATCAAAGTGGACCAACCAGGAAGGGTAGAAGCAGGCAATCTGACTGGATGAAAAACTCAGCAAATAACATAGTCTTAGACAAGTGTGACTATTCTGGGGATGCAACTGATGAGGAGCAAGAAGACTTACCTTATGATGGAGACTTGGAAAGAACCTACAGACACATCAGTGATTCAGATAACTTGAAGGATTGTACACTTATCGAAAAGAAATCTGATAATTGTTTACAGTTAACCTATTCTGAAGTTAGCAACCATGTAAAAGAGACGAATTATAAAATGCAACGGGTACCTCAAGAAAAGGTGTTTCCTTACCATCCACCTGCTACAAGGGCAAATGGAATTAAAATTGAAATGACAAGAGATGCTTTAGTGAGTGGAACATCTTTTGAGAAGGAATTAACAGTTGGAGTGTTCAGTAGCCCAGTTAGAAATGAATGTTTCACCAACTCAAAAATTTCTGACGTTCTTTTGCATCATTTTTCCAAAGAAGAGCTATTGAGTACAAACCGTTTAATTGATTGTGAGACTATCCCAGAGACCTCTCTTACTGAAAGTGTTGATGAAGCTATCCTGAATAAAATGAGGATTTCAGAATGCACTAAGCCCACTTTACTAGCAGAAGCACAGGCAAAGTCCTTTGAAGAAAAAAATTTCATAAAGCAAGAAAAAACATTTGAAGCTGTTCACAAAGATAACAATTTACTAGATGAAAATAAATTTGTTATAGAAAAGGGAGCTACTTCTCATTTTGATGAGGGAGAGCATATACAGAAGAATTCCCAATCAGTTACTGGGACTGAGGATACAAACAGTTTTCAAAACACAAGAAAAGAGCATGCATATCAAGAAAGTCTGTTTGAGAGAACAGTGTCATCCCATGAGTTTAAATATGGCCAAGGCCAAGTTCATTATTGCCTTCCTGATGTTTCTAAAGTTGCTTCAAAAGTTAAAATACCAAAAGGAAATAACAATAATAAATCAATTCCCATAATAAAAAAACCCAAACCCTCCCCCAATTTGCTTGTGAAATCATCAGTTGTGAAAAATGTTTTAGAAACTATGAATTATTTTGATTCTAGTGAAGTAAAGATTCAAGAAAAGGAAATGCATATTCCTGAACTAGGGCAACAGCTAGAGGTAAATGAGATCTTTTCAGATAGCTGGCTAGAATTTCATAAAATATTAATGTCAGTGGAAATTAAGTGCAGTGTTCTGCAAAGCTTAACACAAGTCATTCTTTATGCAAACAGTCCTCCAGTAGCCAGCAATTCTATTAATTTAAGAATTAATTGCGTGAGTAAAGAGTTTCAGGACTGGGCTTTTAGGCTATAGCTTTAATTAAAAGAAACCTTTTATAAGATCACAGAATATCTCTGTGATTCATAATTTAAATGTTTCCTGTTAAAGTGCTGTGAAACTGCTTATAGTCAGTTTAATTTTTTGATTCCCAAACCTTTGCAAAATATTGTGTTTCTAACTCCTGTTAGTGTTGCTCTGCCTCTGGCCTGTGGAACTGTGTTTTCCCACCCGTGGCCACAGGTCTGGAAATTTTGCAGCAGGGGAGCAGTGGCAGCATTTATTGCTGCTCCTCTACTGCCAAACTCCTGTGCCTGTGGGGAATCCCACAGGCTGGATGATGTGGCTCTGTATTCTAGATCCTGCCAGTATGCAGTTTCAGTCTGTGGCCTAGCAGTATTGGGCTGACACTGCCAGATTTGGGGTGCAGGATCTGGCTTGCAAACTGGCCCTGTACCATTCATCAAGCTCACAGGGCTGGAAGTCTGAATACCACTGGGATAGTAGATTTACACTTTTAGGATTTAAAACAATAATTAAAAGTATATGTTAATAGTGTGCCTGATCTTGATTCTATGTAAGCCATTGGTGGTTTGGTTGTTGCCCCTTTAACTCCCCAAACCGTTTTTGTGATGACCTTTATTGACTTACTGTGGGTCCCTTTTTAAATTACTTAGTCCAGTATTTTAGGATTTCCTTTATTATTGTAAACAGCAGTTCATTTAAAAGTCACTTTGCATATGCAGCATCTGCCTTTGGGACTACTCATGCATAAATCTGGTCTTTTTTTCTTTGAAGGATTAGTACCTTAGTGTATAAATGTATTAAATATGTATTGCAACACAGTAATAACTGTTTCCCTTTACTTTGGATGAATGCAAGATGCTGACAAAACAGGCCGAAACTCAGAATCATATTGATCATCTGAGATTTGATTATAAGGTAAATCTATCAGAATATTATAAAACTGAATACATTTTTCAAGAGACTTTTAGCATCTTATTTTTTTCTCTAAGAGTGATAGGAAGTGCACAGTCTACTAAACAACTTACCACTACTCTTCTTGTTTGTACATATTCTTTGGAGACATGTTTGGCAACATAAGAGATTTAGGTGTTTAACACTGTACAATGGGAGTAGCAAATAATGTCTCATAAATGTACCACATGATTACCACTTAGATTTGTATTCTGCTCTATGAATATGGATATTTTAAATGCATATACCTGATACGTCTCAATATGTTAATTAAAGAAAATACCTTTTGTACATTGCTTGTTTCTAATTAACCATTCCTAATTAATTTCTGCACAGATATACAGTATTAAAACAGTTTTCAAGTTTATTTATATAGAAAGTCATTCTTATTTTTTTAAAGACCTTTTTATATATTCTTAACAGAGATATCCTCCTGCAGAGTCTCCTAATCCAAACTTTGCCATTCACTCAGGAGGTAAGGGGATATTTTCTGAAGTATCTATATTTCATTCTCTAGCTATTCTGTACAACCTATACTTGGTTTGTCCTAAGTAGCTTTGTAAGTGGTTGAATTTATGTCAGTTTTGCAAATAACATAGGTTCTTCATTTTACATGGGTATGACTGATTTATGTTTATGTTATGTAATCAGGGAAGCTTTATCTGGAAATTTCAGCTGATACTTTATCCTCTATTTTTATGATGTTATGTAGGATTACAATCTGGGAGAATTATCACAGCATTACCATCACCTGGTGCAGCAGGAGAAATACATTGTTTAAATCTTAACTTGTTGCAAAAAACAACAGAAGGAGAAAAGATGTCTCAAATGCTAAAGGAACAAACAGAACAACTGAGAGCTGAAGTAATATATATGAAAGAGCTTTATTAAAAGTCTGTTTGATGCTGATGCTCATATATTTAGTTGCTTAGAAAGTCTGCAATGATATATTAAAGTTACCAATTTTCTGTTGAAGGTTGAAGATTTTTATAAATGTGTAACACAGGCCCCATCTTCACAAGATCATTGTCTGGTAAATTCACGTTTTTAATGTTTTTCAGTTATTTGAAATGTGCTTTAAATGGCATTAGATTTATAAGTATGGTAACTTCACTTTTTCATTAAGTCATATTATATTGGTAATGAAACATTTTTTGCTGTATCCCTGGAAAAATTACTGTAGTATAAAAAATGCCAAGATCAAAATTTGAATTTTCATTAAGTATTTACATTCCCTAAACCGGTTGTGCTCAACCTCTGGCCCATGGAGCTGTCATCCACCCTATGGGGCTTCCTGTGAGTCTGGAAATTTGATGGCAGAGTTGCGGCAATTAATGCTGCCATCTCTCACCCCGCAAATCAACCCCAGATGCTGACCCTGCACATGGGATCAGGCCCACGGATCAACCCTGGACCACTTGTTTGCCCCGCAGTCGAGAGAGACTGAGCATCACTGCTCTAAATTATTACAAAAATCTCAACCTGAAACTGTTTATGAAGACCCTTAGTCAAATTGTTATGGAAGTTATTGGAAATTTTGTCTGAGCAAGACCTTATGAATAGATAGGGCAACTTATGCCCATAAGAAGCTTTTGGTGAAATCAGTAGTGAAACTATTTTGTTCAGTAGTAATATAATTAGGCTTATAATGTAGATCAATACAAATACACATTGGTAAATAAGTAATTTCAAAATGAATTACCTTTTACTTGTTAAGGTGTTAAAGCAATTAAAGGGATACCTTGATGCATTGGAACGGAAATATGTAGCCACTAGAGAGGAACATCGTGGTTTACAGCTACAGAATTACAAGCACAACCCCATAAGTGTGGGCGAGTTTGATCCTGACAGGTGAGAGATATGGCTACTAAACAGTACGTGTACTTGTTTGTGTTCCCATTATCTAAGCATCTTATAAACATTAATTAATTTACCCTCACAAAATTCTTGTCAAGTAAAGATGTATTGTCCTTGTTTTATGTATGAGAAAGTGAGTATGGCTAAATGATTTGACAAAGTTACGAACATGTTAGAGTGATGTTATAGCGTTATGGTCCAGGAAACATGTAAGAGGCACGAATTTCTTAGCATGGTATGTTTTATTGGACTAATTGCATAGTTGGGATAGAGTTAGATAGTCTTTTGAATGCAAGACATTCTTCATCAGATTAAGACTATGTTGCATTCAGAAACTTGTCTAATTCTATTTGAGCTATGTAATTGGTCCAATAAAAGATACCACAGTAAGAAATCCATGCCTCTTAGCAAAGTTACATATGGACTCTGTAGCAGAAATGGAAACTGACACCTGATCTCCTGAGTCTCTGGTCTCTGTCTTACGCTTATAATATGAACCCTCTCTGAGAGAGAGAATTCGAACCTTTAAAACTGGGAAATTATGCTTATTGATTGCTATAAAGTGTTTTGAGACCTACTATAATTGCTTTTTTAAACACAATCAGATCTCAAGTCACTTAAACATACCATATTTACTTGTATCTAACACAGCTTTGATTTTAAAGTGATCTTCCCCCCAAAAAATTAGATTCACTACAGGGAAAATTATAAATGTTATAATATTCCATGTATAGAACCTAATTAGTGGAAGGTTGCCTTAAATTCATCCCCCTAGTGCTGTGGTTTGGAAAGCACCGGCTCCCTATGACTGCCCTCTATGTGTCCCCCTGCTGCCTGCCTTTGCCTCTTGCTACCTGGCCCCTCTGCCTATCCCTCACTCCCTGCCCACCCAGCCCCTGTCCCATGTGCCTGCCCCCCACCCTGTCCCTCTGCCTCTTGTTCCCTGCAAGCAATACCTTCCTCCCACTACTCCCTCCTCCTCCCCCACTTACTTTCTGCTCCAGCTCCAGGGCAATCAGCAGCAGCCCAGCTTTGGAGAAGTAACAGCAGCTCCTAGTTGGACCAGGTTCAGGTTGGAGGGACTAGAGTTTGAGCAAAAGCTAACGGGGGAGTGGCAGCTGGAATGGGGGGAGCACAGGGTGGGGGGCAGACTGTAGGTGGGAGTAGGGGATGGGGTTGCAGGCACAGCCATGGGACACAATGGACGGGGGAACAGGCTGCAGGTCCTGTCCCCCATCTTGGAGTCTACCCCAGTGTGCCCCCTCCCCACCAAAAAAGTCATTCCAGCCCGGGGCAGGTGAGGGCTCAGCTCTGTCTTCAGCACTAGGCCAGACTGCAAGCTGAGCTGCCACCTGCCCTGGGCCAGTACTCAAATCCAAGAAGTTTTTTTTCCCTTCTGTGTAGTTTGGAGGGAAATCTCATCTTGCCTTTGGGTAAATATGGTATTTAAGTATTGCTCAACATTGCTGTGGGTGGCTCCTGTGTATCTTGCTGCCCGTGGGAATTTTTGGTTCTGAATTAAGCAGTAGCCTCTACCTTCAGTGTATATAAAGAACTTAAGGAAGGGATTATCAGAAGTGAGCATGTTTATCAGACTGGCCAGGAGTGAAGGGATTAGATACCTAAGTGTGCACCTAGATGACACATGGAGAAAGGCACTTCCCAGTGCATTGGATGCTCTGCTACAAGCCGTTTCCTGGAGTTAAACTATTAAAACATACCCTAACAGCTAAAATCCTGTTTGCCTTGTGCTTATGCTCAGTACTTCTCTAATACTAGCCCTAGTTTTTATATCACTTCAGACATTCTACTGCCCCTCTGTTTATCAGTGGCCTCTGACCCTCCTGGTGCAAGGGTTAGCAGATAAAAGGTGCTTAGTGTGCTCTAAGAGTGATTACAGGATTGAGTCCAGTGATGAACCGTGCATCATTTGAAAACAGCAGAACGTTAGTTTGAACTAGGGCTTTGAGCTACTTGTGTTGGTGTTGTTCCACACTTAACCAGAGCAGCTTTGCAACCACTGCTAGACAAAAACCTTTGGTGCCAATGGAGTCAGCCTACAGCCGAGTTGAACTTCTGAAAATGTCAGTAGTGCCAAAATGGTGTACTTCAGTACTTAAAGAGGCAGATACGTTTCTAAATGCCTTTACAGATCTCAGCCCAAACTTTTTTTGGCTAAAATTTAGTTTAGTTTAGAAAGGTAATGGCAAATTGCAGTGCTTAATTCTATGCTGGAAAGAAGTCTGTCAAAATACATTATTAAATAACTTTATTTATATCCTAGTCAAAACTTTTCAATATTCAGAATACAACTATGCTGTATTTAATATGCTAAGAAATTGATAATACCTTATGTATCCTAGTTATAATTAATGTATTACTTGTACTAGAGACACACTGTAATCAATATGTTTATTCAAGTACTTCAGAAGATTTCATTAAATATATTTTGAATTATGGTTTTGTTTTATAGATGGTGACCACTTTCTTTTCACCTTGGTATTTCAGTGAAGAATAAAAACAGTTTATTGAAGTGGTGATTATAATATTTTGTGTTTTGTATTTTGGGTTTAGAAAGGTGGAGGGAGAAATATTTAGGCTTGGAATGCTGCTTGAAGATGTGCAAGAGAAAATGGATGATAACTTGTGCAGTCGATGTCCCTCTTCACTGATAAGGCTTCCAACATCTCCTTCACTCTCTGCATGTGAATCCGTGGTTTCATCTTGTTCTGTTCCTCCTGAGGTGACTCCTCAAGTCTTGCAATTTAGGGATCAGATTCTTTTTTCAGTTACACAGGGACAAAACCCATTAACTTCAAGGGCGTCCAGAAATGTGTATAGTGGAACTAATTATCTGAGTCTTTTAATTATCTCATTAGTCATGTTGTTGAAAATCTAAATGCGACTATAGCTTTGGTAAAACTAACTCCAGTGGGAAAGAAATGAAATATGCTTTCAGATTCACAAAAAGACAATTAAAACTTTTGAAAATGTGAGTTTCTCTCTTTGCAAATTGTTACAATTTAATTAAGAAAACATGAAAATAAAGACTCTGCTTGCACAAGATTCACAAAAATCAGTTTGCTTGCAAATATGGTAGCATTTTGACTTGGATTATAAAATTGTAAAGAAATGTAACTGCTTCCCATAGTTCCACATTTAACCAAATAATAGATCACTAAATGCTTTCAAACTATGTTAATCGCTTTTAATGCCATCTGAATTTAAGAGTCCTCCTCTGAAACGTAAAGGGTAGAACTACTGAGTATATAATGAATCACTAGAGACTGTAGAAACAAAATACGTGGGCACGTACTGTAATTTTTAAGGTGTCTATAAACTGGTTACTTTGACAGAGTGAATTAGTCTCAAGCATTAGTGATCCTCCAGGAAGGAGAGCTACTGAAGTGAACTTCCTTGATAACAAGAAGGATGAGAGCACAAAAAAAAGTTGGGCAACTGAGATGACCCTAGAGAAAAACTGTCTGCTTTCTTTATATAATGACAATTGGGATCCTTTCACTCAAGTGTAAGTATACATTTATGGGGTGAGGCTTGATCAAGTATCCTCTGAAGTGAGAAGACTTATTTGGGATGTCAGATCACACAACCAGAAGTCTTGATTATCATCATAGAAATTCCAGATTGAAAATGCTTACTGTTTGAGCTATTTCAACTATAGTACCAGGGCAAGATTATGTATTATAGTTGTTTTGCAGTAGTTTGCATTATAGAAGAGAGGTCAGTATTCAAAATAACTGTCAGTCATTATCAAACAGATCAGCAAAGGCTCTACCACATTAAGTCCTCCTGTTTCAGAGAACCAGGAGGTAATGATATCACTGATGTTACAAGAAACAACGTTTTTAAATTGAAATTTGTTTTTCCCCCCTAGTCAGTTAAGATTACAAGAGAGAGATGCATCTGCCTATGAACAAGATACTCAGCCTCTGGAAGAAGCGAGATTACTAGCAAATAACTCTTCAGATGTAATGGTACAAAGTCTACTTCTATGACTAAGTGGATTGGATTGAGCATGACTATTTTATGCAAGGCCTAACTTAAGTAGATGATATTTAATTGTCCCAGTGTTACGGCAGTTTGACTGTTGTTGTCCTGAGGTAGTATGTTATCACAACATTGCCATACTGACTGCTAAGTAAGACAATCCAAACTGAAGAGCAGATTCTGAGAGTTTTGCTGTCTGAGATTGTGAAACAAACATGATGGGTGGGTGTAGTTTCCCTCGGGGAAAAAAGTGTTTGCTTGTGTCGTAACCTGCTTTCTCTGGTGGTTTGGTGTTCAGGGGGAAAGCACACAAAAGACGGCTTAGTTTTAAATGGGATTATTTGGGCCATTTGTTAAAGTCTTTGACTGAAAAAACATTATCCCATGCCAGATCTTTTGAAAGTTACTCTAAAAGTCATTTCACCTCTTGTGTTCTTATGTAAGCAATAGATATTATGTACAAATGTGGTGCAGTCATAGAATCATAGAAAGTTAGGGTCTGAAGGAACTTCAGGGTCATCTAGTACAACCCCCTGCTCAAAGCAGGACCATGTCCTAACTAGATCATTCAGCAAGGGTTTTGTTGAGCCAGGCCTTAACCTCCAGGGCTGGGGAGATTCAACCACTTTTCTAGGTAACCTGTTTCGGTGCTTCACCACTCTCCCAGTGAGAGAGGTTTTTTCTAATATCTAACCTAAACTTCCCTCGCTACAACTTGAGACCATTGTTCCTTTTTCTGTCATCTGTCACCACTGAGAAATCTAGCTCCATCCTCATTTGGAACCATCCTTCAGGTAGTTAAAGCCTGCTATTAAATCCCCCCTCAGTCTTCTCTTCTGCAAACTAAATCAGCCCAATTCTCTCAGTCTCTCATAAGTCATGTGTCCCAGCCCCCTAACCATTTTAATTGCCCTCCACTGGGCTCTCTCCAATTTGTCCACATCCTTTCTATAATGGGGGGGGGGGGGCAAAACTGGACACAGTACTCCAGATGTGGCCTGACCAGTGCAGAAGAGAGGAATAATTACTTCTATCGACCTGCTGGCAACACTCCTATTAACGCAGCCCAGAATGCTATTAGCCTTCTTGGCAACAAGAGCATACTGTTGACTCATATTCAGCTTACTATCCACTAGAGCCCCCACATCCTTTTCTGCAGAGCTGCTGCTTAGCTAGTTGACCCCCAGCCTGTATTGGTGTGTGGGACTCTTCCATCCTAAGGGCAGGACTTTGCACTTGTCCTTGTTGAACCTCCTGAGCTTGCTTTTGGCCCAGTCCTCCAATTTGTCTAGGTCACTCTGAATCCTAGCCCTACTCTCCAGCCTATCTACTACACCCCCAGGTTGGTGTCATCTGCAAACTTGCTGAGGGTACACTCCATCCCATCTTCCAAATAGTTAATAAAAGATACTGAACAAAACTGGCCCCAGGACTGAACCCCAGGGCACTCCACTTGATACCAGCTGCCAGCTAGTCCTCAAGCCACTGATCACTACCTTGTTGAGCCTGATGATCCAGCCAGCTTTCTGTGCACCTGACAGTCCATTCATCCAACCCATACTTCCTCAGTTTGCTTGCAAGAAGGCTTTGGGAGACGGTATCAAAAGCCTTGCTAAAGCTGACATATATCACATCCATTGCTTTCCCTGCATCCACAGAGCCAGTCGCCTCATCATAGAAGGCAGTCAGGTTGGTCAGGCATGGCTAGCCCTTGGAGGAAAAGAAAGTGATCAGAAGCAGTCAGCATAGATTCACCAAGCGCTTTGAAATGGATTACTTGAGGACCTGCTTCATGGTTCTTCCAGGGACAGAGGTGAGGCTGACTGTAGTTTCTTTTATCCTCCTCCTTCCCCTTCTTAAAGATGAGCACTATATTTGTGCTTTTCCAATCATCTGGAACCTCCCCCAGTCACCGTGAGCTTTCAGAGATAATGGCCAGTGGCTCTGCAGTCACATCAGCCAACCCCCTCAGCACCCTCAGACGCATTGCATTTGGCCCCATGGACTTGTATACGTCCAGCTTTTCTAAGTACTCCATAACCTGTTTTTTCACTGCCCTACTCACCTTCTCCTCAAACTGTGCTGCCTAGTGCAGTAGTCTGGAAGCTGACCTTGCCTGTGAAGACCAAGATAAAAGGCATTGAGTACTTAAGCCTTTTCTTCCTCATTTATCCCCAAGTTGCCTCCCACATTCAGTTAGAGACCCACTTTCCCTGACCTTCCTCTTGTTGGTAACATAATTGTAGCAACTCTTCATGTCCCTAGCTAGCTGCAACTCCAATTGTGCTTTGGCCTGATTTCATCCCTGCATGACTGAGCAATACTAATATCCTCCCTAGTCATCATCCCACCCATCAGTTCCCTGAGGGAGTCAATGTCTGCTTTTCTGAAATCCAGGGTCCATATTTTGCTGCTCTTTCTTCCTTTTGTCAGGATCTTGAACTCAATCCTCTGGTGCCCACGTTGCCACTTCTACATCCCTCATCCCCCAACAATTCTTCTGTGTTTGTGAGTGCAGGTGAAGAAAAGCATGGCTCCAACACTCCAAAAACTTCCTGTATTTCCTGTGCACTGCTATATTGCCCTCCATGAGAACCATGGCTTGTGACCTGAAAACTTCTGCTAGTTGTCTGAAGAAAGCCTCATCTACCTGGTCTGGTGGTCTATAGCAGACACCCACCACAGCATCACCCTTGTTGCTCTCCCCTCTAGCCTTAACCTAGAGACTTTAAACAGGCCTATATCCTGTTTCATACTGGAGCTCTGAACAATCATGTAGCTCTTCTACATATACAGCAACTCCTCCTCTTCTCAGTTTGTACCCATCCATGACAGTGCTCCAGTCATGCAAGCTATCCTACCAAGTCTGTTTATTCCAACTGCATTGTAGTTCCCTGACTGTGCAAGGGCTTCCAGTTCTTCCTGCTTGTTTCCCAAGCTTTGTGCACTTGTGTACAGACATTAGAGGTAAGTAGCCAATTGCCACACTGTCTCAGGAGGAATAGGAGGCCTTGCCTGTTGCCCCCTCCTCCTTATGTTTCTTCCAGGTGTCCCACTTACCTCAGGGCTTTGGTCTTCATCTCCCAGTGAACCTATTTTAAAGCCCCCCTCACTAGGTTAGCAAGCCTGTCTGCAAAGATGCTCTTTCCTCTCCCTCAGGTGGATCCCATCTCTTCCTAGCAGTCCTACTAGTTGTTCTTGAAACAACATCCCATGGTCTAAGTAGAATCCCTGCTGGCACCACCACCTGCACACCCATGCATTGATCTGCCAGATGTGTCTACTCCTACCAGGGAGCTTCCTCTTGACCAGAAGGACAGAGAACACCAAGTGTGCCCCTGTCCCCTTCACCTTTGCACCCAGAGTCCTTTTACATAAACCAGAATTGTGAGTACATGGTAAAACAAATTGAAGGTAACTGATGGCATGAAAAAGTATTGCTGAAGCTACAGAAAGATATTGAAATAAATAAATATTGCTTACATTATACTTGAGATGAACACAACAGTGCAGATAATTGTGTCTTAAGTACTATGCGTTCTTTGTGATGCAGCAATGCTTCCTTATACCCGAGGCAGAAAATGGGGTTAGAGGGCTAGAACTTCATAGGCAGCCTATGTTAAGTTACAACCATACTACTGATCAAGGAAAAACTGAAGGGTAAGTAAGCATTTCATGTATTTTACTAATTGCAAATATTCCTAAATGCTTGTGCATATTCATAGGTAATTATTTATACTCTAAATGTGTTTGTACAGTGACTCTCTGAAATTTAAGTAGTTGCAATGGCCTTATCTTACAGTAAAGGTGGTTGCTTTTGAGTATACAGGAGCCAAAGGGAGGAGCTGGTAGCAAAAATCATCATCCTGATGCACAGGCAGTTAACCACACTCAGTGAAATTCTGATGTTAGTGAAAAAACATTAAAACTCTCACCTACAACAGAGACATGATTTCACTCAGTAAATTGCTTCCTAGTCCAGGAGAGCTATCCAAGGCTTAAATTCTATTTGCATATTACTGTAAAGGGCATAAGTAAATCATAGGTTTTCTGTGGGCCCTCTACACAGAAATAAATTAATTCCATGGTTAAGTCATGAATTATTTCATTATTTAAAAATATTTAAAACAAAATCCAACATTTAATAGAAGCCAAAGGACTTACCCTAGTAATGACAAATCAAAGGGAAAAGAGCCAGGTATGTATAGTTATACAGAACTGAGCTGAATACTTGATGTCTCTTACTTGTAGAAATTCTCTCTCTTGAAATCTGGTTTAATTTATTCAGCAGTTTAAATTTTAGGCAAATGAAATCTCCATCTAAAGCCAAGCTTTCGAATGTGTGTAATATGGAACACAACACTGTTCATCTAAAAGTGCTGCAAGAGCAAGGTAGGAGCCAGAGCAAAAGGCTGTCAGATTTTTTTCAGGTTATTCAGTGAAAATTATCATTTCATAATTCTGGTAAAAGTTACCCACTATTCAATTAATTTTTCTGTCGTTTCAGGAAATTTAGTTCATCCCTCAAATCACTGTTTTCATAAAATAGTGGAAAACTGTCCAGATGAATGTGAAAATACCATACATCCCAGATTGAAAACACAAGTGTCAAGTAAGGCAAACAGAATACCTTGCTCTTATGTTAAGAAGTGAGTATAAATTGAATATAATCTCTTAAGCAATACAACAAGTTAAGAACATTAAAAATGCTGCGAGTTGGTTAAGGGACTGATTACTTAAACCGTTCCTGGTCATCTTACCATTATTTGTGTGTGTACTTGTCTAGGGCAAAGGCATGCCCAGATGCATGTTTCTGCTCAAACATCTGTGCGCTTTGCTAACATAAAAATGAGTAATCCTTTTCTAAGTTAAACTGAATCAGATCTTATTGCCATGACTCATGCTGCAATTAACAGCTTAGATTTTTTTGTTTAGTTATTACTCAAACTCCTAGGTTTCATCTTGTCCTTCAAAGCTCAGTAATCTTGTTTAGGCATATTTCTCCTTTATGAATCAAACTGTTTTTCCTAAATGAATAAATTAGAAAATGTTAAATGTACATCTTATTACCCATAAAGGTTTTTATCTATTTGTTAAAATCTAATCCTTGTACTGTTTTTAAAAACGTACAGAAGTAAGAACATGGAAAATAGAAAAACTGATGGCAGAGAGTCAGTAAGCAGACAGCATTCAGCCTTCATTCAGGAAAAAGCAATGGATTTAGATTTATCAGATACTAATCTGAGTAAGTAGCAATGGCACAACATCCAGAACTGTGTAATATTGGTTCCTTGTAAGATGCATAGTTACTGTAACATTAACAAGGTCTGCAGAATATGAAGACATGTTTGTGGACCTTTTAAACTTAACACCCACTAGAATGACATTTTTGCATAAACTTCCAACACTGCAACATTTCCAGAATTAGAAGGATACTGATATGCACACGCAAATCTTTGTACACATGCATGCAGATTTTTGTACATGTTCACAACTGTGCTCACACATTCTCAGAGCATGTTTAAAAGATATTGTGGACTTCTTTCAAACTTAACTGGTTAAGCTATTAAATTGAACAGGTTTTAAATGATCATTTGTAGGGTAGTGGCTTTTTATAAGAAACCTCATTCATTATGGCATTCGTTGTCCTACTTGGGGTTGGGAGCATATTGATCCCTCATATCCCACCTTAGCAGTATAGCTCCATTGGACCCACACCATCAGAGACCACCCTGTCTCAGAGTAAGGCAGATGCTGTATCTGTCAGTAGTTTAGTTATGACTGGCATTGGAGTCTGGACAACAGGCGTTTATTTTTGCTGTCAAGTACTACTCTTTGAGAGTACTCTTGTGGCTCGAGTGGTTTTGGGGCCAGTCTCAGTTCCGAGCATGCGGGCTTCCTATTTCTCTGAATTACCTTTGATATCCATTTCTCTGTGATGTCTATATAGAGATTATATAGAAGCACTGGTACTTCTATGGGTAGTACTGTTATGTGAATGAGTTAGAACAAGGCGTTATCTTATTACATTTTCTTTCATGGTCCTCTTCATTTTCAGTGGTTCTACAAAGTGCTCCAATACTTAGCAATTTAAAACACTAACACAAAAACCACATACCCCAGATCTGACTTCAGTAGGACTACCTGCTGGAAGAAGGCTCGTTTTGCTGAACATCTGAGATTTGTCAAAATGGGAACTGAATGCAGATTTTTCAAAGATGTCTTTTGTGTCTTCAGGGAAGTCGCTTAACACGATGAGGCTCAATTCTCTATCTAGAAAGTGGATCTACTTCATACATATGAAGAATATTGAGAAAAGAAATTTATTACATGATAGTGAGGTGCTCTGATCAGATGCTGGTAGAAGCCATAGGGAGACACAGACAGACTAGGTAATGCAGCATGTTATCTGTAACTTTATTTTAGGCATCTTCTGATACAACTTTTGATTTAGGCAGTGATTCAGAAGACATCTCATACTGTGCTTCTTATGATAATTCACCAAGTGATGACTTTATGGAACAGAAGACTAAAAGTTATAAGCCACACCAAACCAAAGGTACATGTGTTGTCAAAACTACTAGAAGGTTTGTACGAAAACTGTGTTTATTGTATCATTTTTCTTACAATTATAACATTACTTATTTTCAGGTTTCAGATGCAACACAGGAAGCAGAGATTGGTTTAAATGTGGAAGCTGCAAAGAATCTATTCAGTCCTGTGCCACGTGTAGAAACAAAAATCTCAGCTCACCTCGTGAGTATAGCGTGTTACTGAAAGACTACTATCCACAAGCAAAGCTTTATGTATTACAGCCTATATCTGTAATGGCAAACGGAAAACCTCAGCTTCCATATAAACAGTTGGAGTTGTATTAATGCCAATGGTCAAGTTGGCTTGACTAATTCAGTATAGTATAGATCTTTCAGGGAAAGATTATGAAATCCACCTTTACATAAATAGTTGCTTGTCCTCTGGCAAGTCCTTATGTAAACCTATGGTCATGAAATATGCATACATTGAGTGTATCCCACAAGCAGTTCAACTCATGAGTATAGTGTGACTAAATATATTGCAACAAAGTAGAATCCCTTTTCAGGTCACACAAGTGCTTCCTAATGTAAGCAACAGACCCTAAAGACACACTTTTTTTTGGTCAGTTACAGTAGTCTCTTCGTGAGACAGGATGGCACCTCATGTTTTCTACCAACATGTTTAAAATATTGAAATCTTAGGTATCACTATGCCAACTACCACTTGCTCTTGGGCCACTGCAGAGTTCTATGAAAAGAAACTAATCTTTTTTTTATTTCAGCTTCTGCCACTGTCCTGTATGATTTTCAACAAGACAGACAGCCTGATTATTTTCAGAAATGTTGATCACTCAAAGCAGTCTTAAAGTCTCTCAACACTCTGGCTTATGTTTCACAGGGAGGAATACTTTAATTTAAGTACCAGTATTTTGAAATATAAAATGCTGTGCAAGTGATGCATAGAATTAATGCATTTGTTATGATTATGCTGTGCTGTCATTAGTTTCCTTTTGCCCTCAGCATCATTACAGTCCAGGGATTGGAGTACAAATATGTGCATCCATTGTCAAAGTAATGAAAGCACCCAGGAATCTATCAAAGATAATACTGGTAAATAATACCACTGACTTAACTGCATTACAATGTTTGGTGTACAGTCTACACAGTAAAAGCACCAACTTTTAAAAGAGATTTTGTGTAGACAGTATATTGAAGTGTACAATACTAAACTGAAATCTAATCAAGGAATGGATTTGTCTAGGAGAAGGGAAGGGAGAGAGCTCAGCGTTTTGAAACACTGTTGGTTGGACAACACAGAAGCAAGCATTGTTACTGGCATGTTTAAAAATGCATCTAGAAAATGGGCTTTATATTTTTATGAAGGATTCTGTGCGCTTCAAAAACTGTGTTTGTAGAATGCCACTTTGATTGGTCACCAGGCCATTTTGTTTTTACTAATTACAGCAAAAGCTTTGTTATCTGCACCCATAGGGAGTGGGGGGTGCCGGATAACAGAATATGCTCGTTAATAGAGGCCCGAACAGGAGTCTTTGCCTGTTTGGGCTGCCGCCCCTCCCGCCACACCTGAGGGACAGGAAGGCAGGCCCTACGCAGGCTGCTATGCCTTGGGCCGTGGGGGCTCAGCAGCGCAGGCTGCTTTACCCTGAGCTGTGGGGACTGAGTGAAACCGGAAGTGCCACAGTGGGCACTTCCAGTTTCGTTGTTACCTTACAAGCCAGCATGCTGGCTTGTAAGGTGCTGGTTAAGGCAGCTTTTACTATATTAAGGAATATCAATCAAGAATAGTCTTGAAGTGTTTTCCACTTTCTGTCTTGGTATCCAAATATTAGGCACTTTACTAACTTAATACCTGAAATATGGGATTTCCTTTTCATTTACCTGCAATAGTTGGAGGACCTCTGGAATCTCTTTAATAGCCTCTTTTCTATGACTAGTAAAGACACTGGTCAGACTTCCACAGTTTATAAACCCCACAAATAATAATGGAGGGAAAGGATTAATGAAAAAAAGACTAATTAAAAGAGCACAGGAAGAACAAAATATATTACGGCTAGACACAATTTGGGCTTTTAAGAAAAACAGCAATGATTTCAAGAGGCATAACATCTTGAATTGGCAGATAAATTTTTCTAGGTATTTTTGTTGGTATTTATTAATTTTATGGGTAAAGCAGAGATGCTTTTTGCACTGCTCCCCATGACCGATTAGAAAAACCTTTAGTTTAATAAATGTTACGTCACAGAACAATCCCCAAAGCAGAGGCTGTAGGATAGCACTTAAAAAAAAAAAAAAAAAAA